AAAAAAAAAGAAGAGGAAAGAAACAAAAACGGATGTATGTCACGATTAAAGCCCACCCCGACTACATTTCCCATCAGTACTCGCTTAGAGAAAACGATGAGAAACCAACAACAGGGATTCAGCCAATAACACTGCGGAATGTGACATACTCGTTTAGTGATTGGCTATTTTTGCCTGAATCTCCCACGATGCTTTGCTGCAATACCTTAGAATTCAAATCGAGCGGACCAATCAGAGAGCACCGTAACGACCGAGGCAGCATTTTAAACTTGTAGCAGAAACTGTTGTCAAAAGGCAGGACGGGTTAACGCTGCAGCCATCGACGGACAACTCTGGCGATTACTTTATTCAATATTTTCGTTTTAAAAAAATAATTATAGTCTAGTTGCACCGCGTTTTAATTGTCAATGAAATGTTTAAGTAACAACCGCGTCTAAAGCGTATTATAGCTAGTTTTGATTTAAATTCAGAAGTGCAGGGAGCACGCTAGCTTCCAAGGCCAAACTAACGTCGGTTAAGGTAGGGTTAACAATACTCTCTTCCTTGGGGTTTATCATTAATAACTCTATTGCGAAGGGGCTTTAAAACGTTTCTTTTTACTCCCGGCTAAGAGCACTTTAATCCAAAATGAGCGCTGGTGTTGCAAAGCCGGCGAACCCGATGCCGCACGTCGACCCAAAATCGGCCACTCTGAAAGAAATCCCAGATGTTCTGGTCGACCCACGCACCATGAGACGATACACCAGGGGGAGATTCCTCGGAAAAGGTGGTTTTGCAAAATGCTACGAAATCACAGACGTGGAGACAAAGCAGGTTTTCGCCGGAAAGATCGTGCCCAAATCGCTGATCCTGAAGCAGCACCAGAGGGAGAAGATGACTTCGGAAATCTCCATTCACCAAAGCCTCAACCACCCCAACGTCGTGGGCTTCCACGGGTTCTTCGAGGACGATGATTTTGTGTTTGTCGTCCTGGAAATCTGCCGGAGAAGGGTGAGTGCAGAGAAAGTGTCCTTTCTGTTAACTGAGGACGGCCAACGGTTACCCTGGCGGTCTCTTCCCATGGCCTTCCCGTCACAGTGCAGGAAGCTTGGCCTGTTTAAAACCACAGGAGCTCTGAACATAATTCAAATGAGCCACTATTCCTAAACTCAGTATTTTGATGGCATTAGTACTTTTTAAAATCCTTTCTTTCTACACTACATGGTAACCATCCGATATACTTGATTTTTGTTGCTGCTTTACTGTCTCAGTGCCCCAGTTTAAAATCATTTTCTTCTCCAATTCAGTCCCTGCTGGAGCTGCACAAGCGTCGTAAGGCTGTCACAGAGCCCGAGGCCCGATACTACATGACTCAGCTGCTCAAGGGTGTCCAGTACCTGCACAACAACAAAGTGATCCACAGAGACCTGAAACTGGGCAACATCTTCCTCAACGACGACATGGATGTCAAGATAGGTAATTTGCTCAACTCAGCATGATGGCAGGGACTATAAATGTCAACTGGGTATATCAGCAACCTCAAACTGCTGGCTTTAGTAGAAAAGGATGAGGCACACCCAGGTCCTTGAGTCAGTAATTTCTCACAATTCAAGAATGAACTTTTGCACACAAGTGTGCCTCTTTACAGTTATGTCCCCCCTTTTTCTTTTAAAACAGGGGATTTTGGCCTTGCCACAAAGATTGAGTTTGATGGTGAGCGGAAGAAGACCTTGTGTGGAACACCTAACTACATAGCTCCTGAAGTGCTCTGCAAGAAAGGCCACAGCTATGAAGTGGATGTTTGGTC